ACATGGATACGTTTGTAGCCCACAATTTGAATGCCACCCCGGGTAAATTTATCTCTAGACCGAAGGACAACCGAGACAAAACCAAGAAGATCAATGTGATATGCCAAATCAACTGCAACAAATTCTACGTCGAACAAACTGCGAGGAAAGTATGCGGAATAGAGGAACAACGTGGTCGTCGAGAGACATGACAGCTTGTCCTTGATATCCATATATGAGGAGCAAGAATGCTACGAATTCAATCTGGAAAACGCAAAAATTCTGGCATACTGAGACACGAGACACGCAAGAGAATTTATGGAAGCATGCCACTCTACGGCAGATTTGATCAACCGGTGCAGTGAACTGGATCCAATTTACGCACCCGCACCTGCAATAGCCCAACATCTCAACCGACACACTCAAGGAGGACCGAACATTAGATTCACAAACAAAGAAACAAGGAGCTCCTCTCATTCAAATCAATAAAGGTCACAAGCCGGGAGTCGAAATGACAAAGGTCACTCCAACATCGACCAGATTACGACGGCAGGGGATGCCAAGCTCAAAGGTCATGTGGCCATCAGTGAATGGGGTCAAAGGATTACGGAGCAACCAATGGAACCATCCGATCGAACAACTAATCATGATCAAAGTTCATCTCCGGCTAACAGCACGTGTAGTGACACACACGTAACATTACTAAGGGCCCAACCACCAACACACCGCTACGCACCACTACGCTCCCCTATTATGCACTGATGATAGCACCCCGATTCGTGATGAAACATTTGTAATTAAATTGCTCACCTAGCAATACATATATATATATGCCAGCAACATTTTCCTTTAAGAAAATTTCAGGGTCTATCTGTACGTCTCGTTATGCCTAACTAGTACCATCGCCATCGGATAAGTTACAAACTTCCATAATGAAGGTGTCAACGTCCTTACTCAGTTAATAATTGTTCTTTATATGCACATCCCTAGTGTTTGAAAACAGTCTCGGACGTGGACAAATGGATTCTTCGTAGAGTCTGCCAGTCATGTTAGAGAGTACTGAAGGAGTCCGATATTGAAGGAGTTCCCCATATTGATTTGTTAACCCAGTCGTGAGGACCAGTGAATAATGTATCGGCTTTTCCTAAAATTACATTCCGCGCGGTACGTAGATGATTCAAAGAGTTCATTTTGCTCATTCATGTATGAGATTTGGTCCGCTGGGGATTTCAACTCAAAAGAATACATGCGGAAGGGGCGCATTTAAGTAGCCGCAGTGACCGTATTTAACTATCCGTAATGAAGTATCGTCAGAAACACTCATCATAGGTGTAAATGATGTCTTTAGTTCATTTCGCCTTAGTTCTAATCGCTCAACTCTCGCCACTTATGAGCAATCTGTCACACCTTGTTATTCTGCATAGTAGTAACCTGGTTCCATACTCAAACCTTTAAGTTCCTTGGTGGCAAGATATCTTTTACCGTACTTTACAACCAGTGCGACGAGAGCAATCCCCGTGTGTAGTGCAGCTGAGTGTGTTTGTTCGGTAAACTTGAGCTCAGGAAATTAGGCCGTGCTCTCAACCGAACAGAGAAACTGCTCACCTTGCAGAAAAGTCGGATATCATGCCGATACAACTGACTGGCAGTGCAAATAGTAAGTACCAACCATGGCTCAGACAGCAAAGTTGAGGACTGTTAATGCACATTCATGTCTTGAAATTCCTCGAAAAACTTGCTGGCGGATGGTACTTCCACGGATAATTTATCGGGTGTTTTCATAGCTGAAAATTATCTATCTGAAATATAACCAATGGAACCAGCTTTTGAGCAGATTCAAGCTATGTCTTCGGGTGAGAGGATTCTAGACTAAGGCCCCATGACAGTTGTGAACGACTGTAAACTGTTCAGAATCCACTGCAATGCATTGGTGACCTCAGGTATTCCTTCATCTCACTCGAAATGCGTACGTCAGAATTAGACTGCATAAAGTGGACGGATGACCGATTATTACCGAAACAATAGCTCGCTCATCGAGTTGTAATTTCGAAATTCTAGATTGAGTGTCGTTCATTGCAATTAGCCAATAAGAGAATCGAACAGACCGACACTGGTCAGTTTTGAAGCACGCGACCGACCACACCAGTCATATTCATCCACATACACATCAATCTTGAAAGAGGACGTAGTGTTTATTCAGGTCGAAACTTTGCCTGATGACCTCATTAAAGATGCCATCGGAATCGCAATTGCTCAACAAGAAAAGACGTTAAGAATATACTGGGTCTCATCGTGTATGCGGACATGCAGGGGCATTCAAACATTTTTTATTGTTCCCAATATTGAACGTATGTCATGTGAGCCGAATACTGTTTTGCCAACATTCAGTCGACAGTATGAATAATTTTTCATTCATGCATACTTTAATTCGTGTTCCAGTTTCCTTCCACCGGGTATGCCAATTGTTCCCACAGATTAGCAATCAGCTATACACCCCAACCAACCTTTTAGTAGTCAAACGATTACATTTTTCAATGTTGTCCTTTGTGATCCCGGATATTTTGGTAACTTTTCCATTTTTACTTCTACCCTGGCAATCTGCACTCATCATTGCGTCAATCCAAGAATACCCAGTGCAGCTGTGGTTGTTCGTTTATTCATCAAATCAAAGGGAGGAGTAGTCGACAGCAATTTCCCCTACATCTTTTAGAGCGTAGAAGAACGTCATCATCGGATTATTAACGCATCTGCAATGGCAAATCTGTATTTATCCAACGTAAGCAGAGCGTTTGAAACTCCAAACATTGTGAAAAGATCCATGTGGCTGGTGCTGCTGATGCTTACATATTTTCTCCAACCAGCTACGGTTAGTTTCAGGTGAATAATTCTCCAATTAATCTTACTCAGTTTGGATACTCGTGGCATCCACAGCGCCGGTAATTGCCACCGGATTTGTTGAGTTGGATGGTTGCATATGTTGCAACCTGTGCAACTAAGAACACACTCGGATGTACAGTTACCCATTGTCAGAAGTAGCATTTTGTTCTGCATCGAGACCATGCTTGAATGTTCCCAGTACCCCCAATTCTGGATTGTTGTTGGTAGTCGATCGCGGTAGGTTGGACGAAAAGTGTGGGGATGGCAATATTTGCAGCCTACAAAAACCGACCTATCAAGGAACGATGTTTCCAAATCCAGCTGATATGTTTTATTCGAAATAATGCGAAGTGTATCCAGTTCGCTCGTACAACGGGCAAGATTCATGTGCAACATTTGAATAGATGGTATTACCATAGTATATATATATATTTGCATAATATAACGATCCTATCCTAGTAGGCGCTCATCCGAAATGTTCAGAGGGTTAGTCGCATTCGCTGAAATAGTAAACTCAGCTTCCGTAAACCTTTGCTAATGTCGCATGGCGGTGACAAGCTAACTTGTTCTTGAATGGATCTGTCTACTTTGTGTCAGACTGAAAGTTGAGGAATTAGGGATTTGGGGTCCAAAACGGTGAGACCACCCATTCACGAAACTGAACATCATTTTTATGCAAAAAAGGCAGATAGTGAACCTGCTGTTCAGGAAGACTGTAAGGATTGCAACGACCAGAGAAGCAATCCATTTGTTTTCGCTGCAGCGTGATGGTATCTCTAGTACTGCTTGTCCGGATCATGAAAGGAACAAACCCTCACGTCTTTCACAATGAAATATCGGTGATCTAAGCGAAGTTTCAACCGTATTCTACAAGCAATCAGAAACTCATTTCCCGTAAGTGATGCGGGATAGGTGGGAACAAAACGGAATAAAACTATGCGTGCCGTCGAAGGGTATTCGTGTTCCTGTATGAAAAGGCCCCCAGACCGGGATGCGCGGAATGACTCAACCGTTTTCAATACAAATTCGTCTTTTATTTCCTCGTTTCGTAACAGCGTGTGCCGCCAACAAAATCGGAATTCGGGTCTTGGATTCGAAAAAAATGGTGCGGCCTGTCGGGTAGGTTCACTTGGACGAAACCACTGAAATTCGTTCCGTAGTTCGAACTTCTTGAAACGCACTCAACCGGAATTTCGAAATGGTTGCCGAAAATGGGTCAACGAGTTGAAAACGCCTGTCTCGGGATATGGGGCATGTGAACACATGAACACGCCAGTGTTCGACACATGTATGTGTGTCTCATGACCTTGCAATGGAACTGTCCCCACAACAACGGATCGGTATCCATTATTCAGACAATGAACGGGACTATGGATGTAAGAAAGCATGCTTCTGGCTCAGATGAAACGAAAATCATCATTGCATATACCTGAGCATTTATTGGAGTAGTCAGTTGAATAAAAGACCACGTTCACTCAATATAAAACAATTAAGCCGCATGTGTTAATTACTTCGGATAATGTGACGTGTCATTGAATAATCCGTGTAATACTACTTTTCACCCTAACCCGGCTGGAAACTGCCTGAATCGGCTTCTGTCGGTGCACACTATATTACAAAAGGTTAACTTCTAAAACCGTGAGTTTACAATCAGTTGGACGAAGTTCGGAAACGCTTGAGCAACCATCCTTTCTTTC